GCTGGAGCTGCAGAGAGACCTTCCCTATCTCAAAAAGATAAAAAGGAAAAGACATCAACCTTGGACCAGCACCATGGCCCAAAAGTAAAATCTTTTCTTTATAACTTACTCAGTCTCTGGTATTGTGTTATTAGTAACACAAAGGGACTGAACCAATATAGAGTGAAAAAGAAAACTTTACTTTTCCTCTACTACTTTACTTCTTAATGTTTCTTTGACGACTGTGATGGTTTGAATCAAAATGTCCCCCATAGGCTCCAAGTACTTGGACATTTTGTCCCCACATGGTGGCACTGTTTTGGGAGGTTTTAGAAGGTGTGGCTATCCTGGAGGAAGCATGTGACACTGGGGGTGGGCTTAGAGATCTCTGGGGGTGGCCTTGCCAGATCTCTAGCTGCACTCTTGCTTCCTGTGCCTACATGATGATGTGAGAGCTTAGCTTCTGCTGCTCCTGCTCCAGCCACCTCCAGCCACCATGCCTCCCAGCCATGACAAGCTATAATTCCCCTGGAACCATAAGCTCATATAAACTCTGCCTTCTACCAATTGCTTTGGTTAGTGTTTCTATCACAGCAACAGAAAAGTGACTTATACAATAATTGGTACCAGAGAGTGGGCTGTTGGCTGTGAAGAACCTGACCACGTGGGGTTTTGGAAGAATGTAGAAGACTTTGGAAGCTTGGACTAGAAAAGTGGTTGATTGCTGTAAGCAGAGCGTACCAAGCCATTCTAGTAGGGGCCTGGAAGAAAGCAGTGCTGAGAACAATGCAAGTCCAGAGGGAAATAAGGACTTAAGCAGCACTTGGGATATTTTGGCAAAGAGTCTGGCTGGAGTCTGCCTTGGACCTAAAAGCTTGCCTGAGGCTAAGTTGAAAAGCAATGAACTAATTTCTCTAACAGAAGAAATTTCAAGACAGCCTAATGTAGAAATAGTGGTGTGGCTATTAATGGTGACTATTATGCAGATCTACAGTGAAAGAGAACAAATGGGGCAGAAAGAAATACAGTTTTGATTGGAAAAGAGCACTAGGAAGATAAATGTTGGAGCCCCACCATGTGATACAGAGAATCCCATTGATACGGAGATTAAAGTGATTAAAGAGATTAAAGTCATTAAGAAGGGGCCTACGGATTCAAACTTAAACAATGGAGAGAGTGCCTCCAGGCAAGACCACACCCAGTTAAGCCTCCAACTTGTGAAAGGAAAATGCTGCAGGGACCATTGAAGAGAAAAGCTTCTAAAATGGATGAAGCAGGTAGAGTCCACCCCAAACTTGCAGTTGAACTTGGCAGTGTTGTTCACCTAGTGCTGGCTTTAGAGGCATGAAAGATGCAAGAGTGAAGGGGTCATCAGTTCTTCCTCCACAGTTACAGAGAGCCTCAGAGGCCAGGTAACATGTAGCAGGAGTTCCCCTGCATAGAGAAGGCCCTGATAGGCCATTGCCTGAAGCTGTGAAGGTGAAGCCAGGTTGGCAATGGAGACCCCAAGAAGTTCCATGATGCCAGAGCTGTGAGGCATCTGCCAAGAAGACCTGCATACAGGGAGTGGTACCAGCACAAGAGAGAGATGTGTGTTGCATGCAGCAAAGCTAGAGAGGCTGAGACATCTAAGCCCTTTGGAGGTAAATCCCAGAAGTTGGACATGGAGCTACTGGATTTGGTGTTTGTCCTGCTGGTTTTCAGCCTTGTTTTGGTCCGGTATTTCCTTAGTATCCTTCCAGTCCTCCCTTTTGGAATGGTAATGAGTATTCAGTTCCACTATATGTTGCAAGTATGTAATTTGTCTTTTGATTTTATAGAGGCTTACAGTTATTTACCTGAGTCTCAGAATAGACTTTGGATTGTGGACTTTTGAATAGTATTGAGATCGATGACTATGGGGACTTTTAAAGTTGGACTAAATGCATTTTGCATTTTATATGGTCATGAGCCTATGGGGGCCAGGGGGTGGAATGTGGTGGTTTGAATGAAAATGTCCCCCATAGGCTCCAAGTATTTGGACATCTTGTCCCCACATGGTGGGGCTGTTTTGGGAGGTTTTAGAGGGTGTGGCCATGTTGGAGGAAACACGTCACTGGGGGTGGGCTTAGAGAGTTCTTTAGCCTTGCTGGATCTCCAGTCACTCTCTTGATTCCTGTGCCTGCATGATGATGTGAGAGCTTAGCTTCTGCTGTTCCTGCTCCAGCCACCTCCAGCCACCATGCCTTCCTGCCATGATGGATTGTAATTCCCCTGGAACCATAAGCTCAAATAAACTCTTCCTTCTATAAATTGCTTGGGACAGTGTTTCTATCACAGCAACAGAAAAATAACTAACACAATGACCAACAATCAACAAATAAATACAGTTACTAATGAAATTTTTAATATGCATTATTTAATACTGTTATTGTCACAATGTTATTTCATCAAATTTTACTGCCAATAATCACAGAGGGAATGAACTAATGGCTAAGTCCACTCTCATGTGAACTGCATAAAGAAAAATTGTGATAGCTATAGTTCTGTCTACTCAAATGGATCTTAAAGTCACTAACTTAAAATTATTTAAATCCATTAATATGATATTCATGAACCTTTCACCAAAAATATAACTAATGGTGACAGTTTCTAAATAAGAATTACTCCTCCCCCAAAACAGCTCAAGCAAAACAAAAGAATGGAGCATTTATCTACCTGGTTCAAAGGGCTTCTGGGTTTGTGCGCTGCTGAGAAGTGAAGCAAGCTGGATGGGAGACATGCAGGTGACTGTGATACCACCAGCACACATATGACCAAGGTCTCACACTGTGTCTCCCGTTGATCCAGAACATACACAGCTAGCTGACTACTCCCTGCCCTTCTATGATCATTCCTGACTTGTGTGGTTATGTGAGGATGGAAACCATCCTAAGAGGTTGCAATCCTAAATGCTCAATTTTGCTGGAACACGTTGTAACTGCACAGCCTTCCTGATCAAAATCAAGCATTAGCAGCAAAACCTCATCACCCAACGCAGATAACAATTTGAGTATTTGCAGGGTGTGGTGGGTCATGACTTTAATCCCAACACTCAGAAATCAGAGGTGTGAGATTAAGCCAGGCAGGGCTAATGGAGTCTATCTCAAAACAATCAATCAAGAATGTATCAAGCGGGGGCTGGAGAGATAACTCAGCAGGTAAGAACATTGACTGTTCTTGCAGAAGACCTGGGTTCGAAACCCAGCACCCACATGGCAGCTAACAACTGTCTGTAACTCCAGTTCCAGGGGATCTGACAGCCTCTTCTGTCCTCCGCGAGCATTGCACGACACGGATGCACTTACTACATGCAGGAAATACAGGCATACACATAAAATAAAAATAATTTCAAAAAATTATAAAAAAATAAACTTTAAAAAAAAGAATGTATCAAGAATACTTCAAGTAAAACAATAAATGATAAAATAAATGAAGGCTGACATATAAATTGCAAAATCTAAAGGAAAACAGTAAAATTATGAAAGAATATCTGGAAAGTCTCTTCTGAAAATTCAGAAGTGATGGTATTTATTTCAACAAATATTATCTGTAGTCCAGTAAACAATCTCAGTAGCTTTACCAAATTTGTTCCAAGCGTAGCTATACACCAAGAACGTGGTGTTATGCTGCCACCTCGTGGCTATATTTAGAACTGCAGGGGATACATTTTGAAAATGTGTAAGACTGCAGCAGAGCAAAATCATGTCTTATTATAATAAGCTGTAAATCTTATATGAGTTTCTAAGAAAGTAAGTCAATTTTTGATATTACAAGGAAACTATTTAAATAAGTATTGTAAAATTATAAAATATTTCAAAGGCCTAAGTGTAGGCAGTCTTACTTGACTGTTCCATAAAGAAGCAATAATATTTTTCTGAAGGGAAAATTTTCATAATATACAATGGTCCTCAACTTGAAATATTATAAGCATAAATTCATCCACACATGATCATTTTCCAGTTCAGTGATATCAAGAAGCCTTTGTCATTTGTCGTTCAGTCGCTTGCCAAGATTGAAATGCTCAGCACAGAACAGCGGCCAGAAGTTCTAACTTCAGGCACAGTGTTTTCCCTATAACTCAATGTTACTAATCTAAGACTTCTTAACGACACAAGTATCTAATATGGATGGCAGTGTTTTCATTTGAAGATAAATTATCTAAAGCAAAAAAAGACATTGGAAGTGATTTATTTTGCGCATTCTTTACTTGTATGCTTGAATAGGTAGGTAGAGAGGTGCGCAGTAGGTAGATGTATAATTTGAAGGTAACAGTGTGAAATAATGGGAACTGAAAGACGTATTTTCAAGAAACAAGCAGGGTGAACTCTAAAATTATAAACCCAGCCTAGTATGTGTAAGACCTGAGGCCTCCAGAGCTCCAGACTGCAGTTCATACCTCATGCCTTCCCACCCACGGTTCATCTAGCTCCATCCTGTATCATGGGAGAACTGCACTTTTGAGACACCCAGCCCACATGGGTAAGCTCAGAACAGAACACGATAACTACACCCCACACATACCCTCATCATACCAGCACATTCAGCATTTTCACCATGCGTTCAAGCCACAAGTGGGAAATATGCACTGTCACCTGTAGACCCCACACCTTCCTCACCCTGTGAGGGGAGAGCCAGGGCAGAGCCCACAGAAGCGCCAAAGGTGGTCATGGCATAAGTGCCATGTAGAGTGGTCATACGATGAGGACAGGGTGTGAAATGTGATATGACATATCTTGGTGACCATCATTTCAAATTCTAGGATCATGCTTTAAAATCAAAAGAAGCACACTTCTTGGCAAGCAAAGGAGATAGGGACAAAAGGCCACTGTCTGACATGTCTGACATCTGTCCCACCCCTTAAGAATCTCAAGTAAAACATTAGCCTCTCTGATTGGCAACACCAACTATGGAAACCAATTTTCCATTCACTCTGTCCTATTTGCGAGAGGCACGAATGAATGTGCCACGTATGTTAGCCGCAGACACGGGTATGTACTCACCATACTGTTCATTTTTGAGGATGAGGAACCCGCTCTTTGTTTTCTTAGACTATTTATGTCTTCTGAGTGTCCATCTTTGGGTTTCCAGATCATTCTGCTACTCCCTGCAGTCCCTTCGGAGGAGGAGCGCAGCCGCCTCTCTATGAACCTCCCTTCACGGTATGGACTGAGGCTACTGGCAAGAACTTTTCAAAGAAAAATTAATAAGATTAATATAAATACTTAAGTGGAGATTTTTAATCAATGTGCCATTGAAAGATAATTAAAAACTTTAGAATGGTTAAAAAATTCTCTATTACAGTAAAATTTCTAAATTTATAGTGATCAAACAATCACTTTGTCACTTTGAAGCCCAAAACTTGAGGAATCATCCCTTTTCAAGGCTCACAATAATCACATAAGCAAATCCTATCTATGTTTATTACACTTGTAACTCCAGCACTCAGGCGGCTGAGGCCAGAGGACTCTTGCCAGTCCAAGGCCAACATGGACTTTATAAAGAGTTCCAGGTCAGCCTAGGCTACACAGTGAGACTGCATCTCAGAAACACAAATAAAAATATGCTTCTGAATCAAATATTCTAACATCAAATTCATGCATTTAAATTGCAAAAACTGTTGTGTTCTCAGAGGAGTTAGTCCAATACTCACATTATCTTACAGTTTTTGATATGATAATGCATCATTTGACTCAGTTGCATTTTATTTAACTTGTTATATTATGCATACAGTATTACATAGTTATTAAAAGCCTGAGTTTAGATTCAGATAACTTCAGACTGGCTGTGTTACACACTGACCTCAGTTTCCACATTTGCAAAATAAGAAACAGGAGGAGTCTGCCCAGCAGGGCCCAGCCCAGTTAACTGTCTGCTGTTTCGGTCTGACCCTAGATATATAGCTTCTCTCCCTACAATTTTCCTGCTATAAAATAGCTTATAGCTTACAATTATATTAGTAACTGAAATCATTTCAATTAATGCATATAAAGAAGATACATTGGTTCCTAAGTCATAGTAACCATTTTCAATTTTGAGAAAAAGACTAGTAACAGTGGCGGCAGTAGAAGAAAAGAATAAAATATGATGTAGAAAATAGTCTAGTAAGTGGTATATATTCAACAGTTCCCTTGAACATTTTC